CTCCTACACCACCCATGGGCTTGGCCAACAGACGGGAAACCTTCCCTTTGGCAGTGATGCTCTGAGTGTGCTGGGATGTCCCCAGGCAGAGCACATGATGGGGACTGAAGTCCAATACACTCTCTCTCCCATTCTGTCTCTCTGTCTGCTAATAGCAGCAGAGGTCAAGTGGAAAGCAGCCTGCTCTAGAAGGCCAAAGGTCATCTACAACAATCACCCTTTGACTGGTAGATTCCCTAATATGTCAATCGGGCAAATGATGCTCGATTTGAACTTGACTGGGGTTAAGGCAGGGACCATGAGTGAGCAAGTGGACTAGAGGTTCCAAACTGAGGGAGGCACTGTTGCTGTTATTCAAATACAATGAGTGCCCACATGCATGAGTGAACATTTTAGAGAGAAGGTAACTGACCTGTAGTGCCATGAGCTGCCTCATTCCATCTTAACTCTCTGAAAGTAGAACCAGCTGAAGGCTACATACCCTACTTGTTTGTCAAATTCTGCACAGAACTCTAAGCTATTTCTCTTCCATCAACGGGGATACGGGCTCTGCTTAAGACAGAAAACCATCTGATACAACAGGGCATCTATGGCAGGGAGCACTGGGCTTGGAACCATGGATCCCATAATGGAGACTATGGGAGTGATAATGTGCAAAGCTGTTCCACACCTCTGTTGAAAAGGTTCTAGGATCTGGCATTCTAGTGGAATTTCTATCAACTCCAGGCACAATATACTGTTCTCTTCCACTCTGTGAACATTTACCCCACAAAACTGCCATAGTAGAATACAATAATTTCCTGTACTATTTGTCACTCACCCACTATGCACAAAGTATCAGTTGCTTTTAAATATGTTAAAGAGTTAAAGCCAGCCTATAACCTTGCAATGCAGATTCTAATTATCCACGTTTTTACTAGATCACAAAAGTAAATAATTTAGCTAGAATCACATGACTAGCTAAGGTGGAGATCTGAGCCCAAGCCTGTTTTGTTCCAAAGCCCATGGACCATTTTCTGCTGCCCACTAGGCTTAAGGATTTGTGTGTGTGTGTGTGTGTATGTATATGGATACATATATATACAAATCCTTGATGTTATTTTTTATTTACATGTTTATTTATTATTATTATTGTAAGATGAATCTGATATGCATCCCTAGAAGCCTGAGGTTTTAATGACCAAGTACAACGTAGAAACCTCCTACCTAACACATGAACAGAGACCTGAGACAGACATTTCTCCCTATGCTGACATCAGCCGTGGTAGATCCCCATTTTAAATTCATTCCTTTGAACTCCTCAGGTGTAAAAGTACCTGGACATAGTACCAGGTACACAGCAGACACTTACCATGTGGTCTCATCATTGCTAAGTTGCTTCTTAGTAATAAACCCTCAAATGCTGGGAGATGAAATATTACTAGCTTTGACGCAAAAACAAAAGTCTAGACACTGGGAGAAACACCAATGGGGCCCAACATACATCTTGGCCAACAGAGTAGGTGTCCCACCACTGGGTGAAAACAGTAGTATTTGAGCCTTACTAATATGTTCATCCTGTTTGGTCTATATCTTATGATCCTCCACTGGAAGGAGTAATTATGGCAATATATGGAAAGCCCTGGTTGTGTAAGTGGGGTCAACTTCAAGTGACTCTGGATCTACGTTTTCTCCTCTGTAGAGGTGCCATCCATCACCCACTCAGAGAATGGCTGTGAAGATTATAGGTACCACATCTATGGATGCGCAAACAACCCAATCAACCCTGTGGCATCTCAGCATTCCCATGGTGTCCTGTGTGTATAACTACTTCAAATTGGAGCAGATTCAGACCCCTTCCCAATCCTAGCAACACCCCTCAGTAGCTGTGTGACCTCAGGCAAGCAACCTAGCTTCTCTGAGCCTGTCTCCTCACCGCAAAAATGGAATACCACGTATCTCATGGGGTTGTTGTATAGACTAAATAAAGTAATATTTGCATGTGGCTGCCCCGGCCCGTTATGTAGGAAAAAACTCAGGAAATACTAGTAGGGTTTAAATGTGCTTAGAACAGCTCTGACTACACACATCCTGTTGAACAGGGAGTGCGGTCAAAAATTATCATGGTCACAAGTAAAGGAGATAAGAGAAAGGAAAGTAGTGAGTTCAAATTAGAGGCGATTTTTTAAAAACCTTCCTCTTTTCAACCAATAAGGTCAACTTCTTGTTTATCAATAACACGACTTAAAAGTCAGTCTTAGTTGATTGAGCAAGCTCTGCCCCGTGCCCTCCACATCCTTCAATGAAGGTAGAAGGAATAATGACTACAGGGCAGGCAACCAAAGGGGGCCTGGGAGAGCTGAGAACTGGCTGTACTGACCTGGGCCATTTTGGTGAAAGGGGGTGGCCTCAGGCACCTTGAACTGCCAGCAGTTCTCTATCTTCAGACCTTCCTCTAACAGTTTAGAAATGAGAGGTCGCATCAAGGCACTCCCCTCAACAAGGCATGTTTCAGAATCTAACCCAAACTCTAATCACAGTTCTGAAATCCCAATCTAGACAAGCTTCAAAGAACAGCACTATTGAGCGCACAGTGTGTGCCAGGTTCAATGCTAAATATTTGCCATACAATAGCTGCACAAGGGGATCATCTTATTTTTTTAACCCCATTTTGCTGATAAGGAAATTCTACTACTGGACTTCCCCCAAAGACATTCTCTAAGACTTTCAGCTGCTCCTATGTTCTCAAGGACGTAAGTCTGTATGACATATGGAAACTTCTGCCAGAGTCTTCAACTCTAATGATAGTGCTGGATTCTACAAAATTCATTACACACAATCAGCTTAGCCCCAGAGCAAACGTGGGTTTGAGAAGAGGCTGAAGCTGGGACAGGGAGACAGAGAGAAGACCTTAGTCCTTTAGAAGCACAGCCTGGCCACCTCTGATTTGCAAACACTGGCCAGAGGCTGCAGGGCAAAGTGTGCATCTTCTTTCTGCACAATTAATCTCTCCCAAAGAAAACCCAGACAAAGTCACCTGGCCCTTCTGAAGTAGGGCCGGGGGGGGAACCCCTCCTCCTCCAAGACTCACACTGAACTCCTATCCCTTCGTCCCCGCCCCAGGGAGTGGCTAGATGGCTGTTGTTTCTTTTCTTTTTTCCCTGTGGTCCTTCGGTAACACCACAAATTACGTTTTCAGGGACTGGAGTCCCAGAGTGCAATGATGTTGTAATAAACATAACCAGGACCAAATGCCTTCCCATCATATTAGATGATGCCATTTCCCACCAATCAGGCTCCTTGGGCAGGCAGACCACTCACCAATGAGGGACCAGACAGAGGCTGTGGGGGGGAGACCTGGTCATCTGCAACTAAAAATAAGGGCGCTTCATGATTGGCTGCTGCCACTTTGCAACAGGAGTTGGGACCCACACACCAGGCGCCACACAGAACGACCCACACAGGCAAAAACTTTCACAGCCCAGGGGCTCACATGGGTGGGCTGATCTGGGTCTGTTTGTTTTGTTTCTTTTCCTAATTTGCTGACTTGATACAAGAAATAAAGACCTAATCCAGGGGGAGCCCCTCGCAGACACACCCTCCCACCTAGACACCTCGGTTTCCAAAGGCCCTTCGCAGCCACAAAGAACTGGGGAACAGGATGGGGGCGTCGGCCAGAGGCCAAGACACTCACCTGTCCGGCCGTGTCATAGAGTCCTAGGAGGTACTGCTTGCCCCCCACGGTGACGCTGACTGCAAGGACAGAAGTGGGGGCGGGGAGAGAAGCTCACAATGACCTGGGCTCTGGGGCAATTTCGCTCCCCACCCGGACCCTCCTCTCCCAACCCAGCTAGAGGCGTGGGGGCGCTCCCCGCGAGATGTCACCCCCTTTTTCCGTGCGCCCGGCTCACTGTGAACCGGCAAGGGGCCGGGGTGTGATGTGGTCCCCAGCCGTCCACCCCTTCTCCCAAGTCCCGTAGACACGTCTCGCCCGGTCCCCTCGAATGTTTCCCCTGGGGCCTCGGAGCAGTAAGAAAGGGGATGTGGGAAGGTCAAGGAGGACGGCCCGGGGCGGCGAGGGGTAGGAAGTGCGGGGAGCAGGGGCCGCTTGGGGGGCAGGTGGGAGAGGGGGTGGATCAGCGGGCGAGGGGTTGCCAGGAGCGAAGCTTCGGGGGTGGGGCCGGCCGCCTGGCAGAGGGTGCGGCGGGGGAGGGGAGAGGAGCGCGCTCGGGGGAGGCGGCGAGGGGGCTCCGCCAAAGTTGCTCCAAAGTTCCCGGCCCGGGGAGCGGCCCCTTAGTCAGCAGTTCCGAGGCTTACCTGCGTAGTGGTCGAAGACGGTGGGCACGTACTCCTCCGGGAAGGCGTCGTTGGCATAGCTCATGAGTAGGCACGTCTTGCCCACCGCCCCGTCGCCGACCACCACGCACTTGAGCATCAGCGCGCCGGGCCCGTGAGCCATGCTGCGGCCGGCCGGCCTCCGGGCATGGTCCCCGGAGCCGCCCGCGCCCCGGGCTCAGCCCCAGCCCGCCTGGGGGGTCCCCGACCTTTTTTTTCTTCGCCGCCGCCGCCGCGCCGCAGGGCGCGCCCCCGCCCATGCAGCGGCTCCCTCTTGCCGGAGGGGAGGGGGCGGCGGGCCCGGGGGCGCTTGCCGCCCGCCGCGGTCGCCGCCGGATCCGCCCCGGCCCCTTCCAGCGGCCGCCCGCTGCCCTCGCCACTCGGCCGCCGCGCCCTCTCTCCCGTGCCCGGTCTCCCTCAGGAGGATCCGCCGGATAGCATAAGACGGCCGGCCCCGGGGGCAGAACGCAGACTTTGGGGAAGGCGGCGGAGGGGAGGGCAGGAGGCCTCTCTCCGCCCCGCGCCAAGCCCGGGCCCTCCCGCGGCCGCCCCGGAGGAAGGGCGGGCCCAGGCCGTCCTCCCGGAGGCGCGCCTCGCCCGCGGCCCCGCCCGTCACCTGCCGGCGCCCAGCCGGCGCACCCGAGCCTCACTCCCCGCGAGGGCCGCGCGGAGGGGCGCGCAGGAGGAGGAGGAGCCGAGGACCGCGGAGGGGAGGAGGGGAGTAGGGGAGCCACGCTGGGAAGCCGAGGGTTCCTCGCGCAAGTGCCCGCAGCGCCCGGAAGCGTCCAAAGGCCCAGATGCTGGCAGATGTGGAGGCCTCTCCGGGAACCAGGACCACTTCCACGATGACGCAATAGTCATGCCAAATTATACATGTATATTTCACCTCCACCCGGCAGGCCAGAGCCATCCTCTCGGCCTCTAAGTGCACAACGGAACTAGAAATCAAGGAAGAGACCAAAAGGGTAAAAAAAAAAAAAAAAAAAAATTAAGGCGCGTGGGGTGGTGGGGGTCCTTGAGCTGGAAAGCAGAGACCCTGGCTTATTGCGTGGTTCCCCCACCACCACCACCATCCCCCCCCCCACGCCTTCCGTAGCACGAGCTTGAATCATTTACTATGAAACCGGTGACTAAGGGAGATACAGCGTGTTGAACCACTGAAGCACGCCCCCCCCCACACACCAGCCAGAAAAGGGATACCCCGTCGGCTCTGGACCTGGCAAATGTACCTGGGCTCCCCCTGGAGGCCACATTCTCCGAGGTCCCCTTTCGGTCCCCAGTGTCCCTCAGGTATTCCGTTGTAATCCCGGAGAACTGATACACCCTAGTGCTCTGAAACTTGGCCTGTGCTCGAGGCGGCAACCCCTGCCCCTCTGCCTGGCGACGCTTGAACACATCCGTCTGGCCAGGTCCCGTTCACTGGCCAAGAGTGTAGCATTGAACATGGGGCACTGGGGCGGGGGTGCACTCCACGCTGACACCACACCCCACCCCTTAACTTGCTGACCAGGGATAATCGCTTCCTTTCATCGATTCACAGCGTTAGAAAAATGCAGCGTTGAGAGGCAGCGCGGAGGTCAACTGGACCATCATCCTTAGGTTGCAGGGAAGAAAACTGAGACCTAGAAAGATGAAGCGGTTGTCCCAAAGGCTGCTCCCAGTACTCAAGGACTTGGAGCACACTTGGGGAGATTCTCACTGTTGTATTCCCATTCCTCACTTTTCAGGAGGCCTGAACTCTCAAACTCCGAATCTGATTTCCACTCTCCCAGGAAGGCTACGGAAATAACGGAAAGTTCCTTGCAGATTCTCACTGAGCCTCTCCCCAGGCCCCACCCTTTGGCCCTGTGTGTCTGCGAGTAGGAATGCGCATTGCTAGCTACTTTCGATGCAATGAACCTGGAAGATATTTTGTATGGACTGAATAACGAGTTGAGGAAGGCAGAACAGTGCCTTCAGGTCAGTTCCTGGTTCAAGACCGGCCTCTGCCACTTGCTCTTAGAGGTAAAGAGAGCAGGGCCTGCCCCGTTCTTCGTTTGCAGGACCATTTGTTCAGGCAGCATTTGCAGGGACTCGTATTCCGAAAGGAGGGTCTATCCAGGAGCTTGAGAAGGAGAGCACTCAGCCACGAGAGGTGAGTTTGGTCCCAGCTCTGACCCTGGTTAGCAGTGTTACCTTGAGCATGTCACTTCCTTTCTCTGGGCCTCCATTTTCTCATCTATAAATGTGAACTAAGAGTAGGAGAAGCTCTGGGAATGTCATAGCACTCCAAGTGGGGAACTGATGTCCGATGAATCATGCAGTGGTGACTTCATTGGTGACAGTGACCTCATTCTTTTGGCCCACAGAGATGCCGAAACCTACTGCCAGGAATACTTAGAGCTCTGGGGCTGATCCCACTTGGTGTGTATGTGGGATGGGGAGGGGGGCTATCCAGAATGCCCCCCTGTCAGCCCATGAATGCCTTAGCTGGAAGCACCAATCAGACCTCAACAGAAACCTCATTTTCCCATGAGCAAAGAAGATAATGTCCAAGTGGTTAAAAAAAAAAAAAAAAAAAAGAGGTTAAAGAAAAAGCTCTCAAATTTCAGGGATTGGAGACAGAAAGCACTTTGTTTCTGAATGTCCCATAGGCTGTCTGCTTGCTTCTCTCCTTTTATTTGTGCAAATGTTGAAACAGACACAGGTCTGTGTGAGAACAGCGAAATTTCTTTTTTTCTTTCTTTTTTTTTTCCTCTTTTTTTTTTTTTTTTTTGGAGACAAGGTCTCGCTCTGTCGCTCAGGCTGGAGTCTGGAGTACAAAGGCTTGATCTTGGCTCACTGCAACCTCTGCCTCCCTGGTTCAAGTGATTCTCCAGCCTCAGCCTCCAAGTAACTGGGATTACAGGCATGTGCCACCACGCTCGGCTAATTTTTGTATTTTTTTGTAGAGCGGGGTTTCGCCATGTTGCCCAGGCTAGTCTCGAACTCCTGAGCTCAAGGTGATTCGCCTGCCTCAGCCTCCCAAAGTTCTGGGCTTACAGGTCACTGCACCTGGCTGAGAACAGTGAAATTCCTAATTAGCCTTCTCTTACTCTTTTTCCTCTACTCCCTCCTTCCTCCCCTACTTAATTCATTCCATATTTCAATTAACAAGCATTTATTGAGGTCTGTTAGATGCCAGATTTTATTCCTGGGCAGGGGACAAAGAGCTGGAAAGCCACAGTCACTTCTAGCTAAAGCATTCAAGGAACTTATTAGCAAACAGGCAAGCACTCTATATAGTGTGAGCAATGCTGTGCTAGAGAATAGAGAATAGGCTTCTGGAGGTGCAGAGGAGGCAGTTAGTACATAGCTCCGGGTGTGCTGAGCAAGGATTTGCAGAAGTGATGTCATTGACCTGGGGCTTAAAAGTCTAATGGGAGTGAGGTAAGAATGCCTGGGAAAGGCCAAGAGCCCTGCATCAAAGCAAGAAGGAACAGTACACAACTTTCTGGGAATGGTGAGGCGTGTAAGGTGGACAGAGTGCATGATTAGTGGTGCTGGGGAATTGGTTTGTATTTAATTGGGAACCATATAATGCAGGCAGTCCATGAGCTTCTGAAAGACATATAAAGAAGAATGCAGGGTCTGGCATGGGCTGGGCAGTCTCCACTGTCCAAAGGCCAAAGGCCAGGACCAACGGGGCCACTGAGGAAGAAATATGGTCCACACGCTTACTACAAAGGCATGGCCCCAGGTCAAAGCTGTGTTCATTGCAAGAAGGGCACTTTTTTCTTGTCATAGATATGACTTCTGTTTGTCAAACCCTGTGCCCATAGGAGTGTATCCACTCAGAGGGGAACCTCGGTCTATGTAGCAAAAGATGAAGGCACTGTCTAGGCAAGCAGTGGTTCTGGGAGCAAGGATGTAATGAAGGGAATAAACACAAATTTCTAGAGCATCTGCTGTATACTTTATCCACTTATGGTCCCAGGTATTTGGTGCTCATTGATATAGGACATCTTATTTCATCTCCCAAACAACCTTGTAAACTTTGTAGAGAGTATCTATTGGTTTTTGTCTATCCAGAACAGCACCATTTGCCTCTGCTAAATGTTTTTATAATGAATCTCTGTAATCATGTGGTTTAAATGGAAGCTGCCATCTTCTTATACATCCTGACCCTGGTACCTGTTGAGCCCTAGGTGAACACCTGATTCAAGATGGGACAATTAGAAATTAGAACTGTTTCCTGAATTTTTTTTTTTTTTTTTTTTGAGACAGAGTCTCACTCTGTCTCCCAGGCTGGAATGCAGCGATGCAGTCTTGGCTTACTGTAGCATCAACCTTCCAGGTTCAAGCAGTCCTCTCACCTCAGCCACCCAAGAAGCTGGGATTATAGGCATGAGCCACCAAGCCTTGCTTAAGAATTTTGAATTTGGGATTCACAGCAGGAGTTTCTCCTCTTTTGCTAACTGAACTGGGCAATGTGAGGCTGGAAGCTGTAGGCCATTCATGTTTCAGCCATTCACAAAGTAGCCAATACAAGGAAATGTAGCTAAAGTGCAGAGAGAAGCAAAGATAGAGAGAGAACACCACCACCACTACCACCACCACCACCACCACTACTCCCCCATCAAAAAGGGCAGAGAGGAAACAGGCCATGTGTGAGTGACTGATTTGCATTATCCCCGAGATCCTGTTGCACAACTGTTCTCCAGTTGGTCAGTTGAGTTAATAAATCTTCCCCTTTTTTTTACCCAGTGAGTAGAGGTTAGTTTTCTGTAACTGGTAACCAAAGGAATCCTATTACAATATTATAACTATAGTTCAGATAGATGATGAGATTAAGAAGCTTGCCCCAAATCACACAGCTGGTAAGTGGCAGAGCTAGGTTTCAAAATCATCTGTCTTCAGAGCTCATGCATTTGCCATATTTCGTATTCACAAGGTATCAAACGTTTTTGAGTAAAAATATGACAAGCTTAGACCTGTCATTTGAGAAGGTCACTCTGGGACTCATAGAAAATGGATTTGGAAAGGATAACGGTGAAGGTAGAAAGAGCCAGGAGGAGACAGATCACAACAGCCTGACCCAAGCATGGGAGTAAACATGAAGAAGAAGCAGTGGGTTTCAGGGAGATTCGGAGGATAGAATCACAGGGCTTGTTAGCAGTGTGGGGATGACAGAGGAGGCGAGAGAGAACAAGGTTTTTACGATAACTCTGAGGCATCTACATTATGATTTCATCTACTTTCTTTTTTTTTTTTTTCTTTTTAATGTCCTCTGTTGTTATCTTCCCACTTCTTCTTTGGACTTCTTCCTCGTTTTTTAAGCCTTTCCATCTCCAATTGTTTCCTAACCACGCAACTGACTGTCTAAATCAAGCTGAGATTAGAACTCTAGAGGACAGTATGTTCTAAAACACATTCATTTGCATCATTTTGTGTGTTCCCTCATGTCTGCTTAGGAAATGGAAAAATGGACTCCAAGGGATCATTTGGTGTTGTGGCTAGGATGCTTTAGGTTGCAAGTCATAGAAAATTCAGCTCGAACCAGCTTCAGCAATGAGGGAAGTATATAGACTTCTGTTATGGAAAAATCCATAAGTAGTCCAAGCTTCAGGAATGAATTGATCAGAACTCTCTCTCTCTCTCTCTTTTTTTTTTTCCTGCACATCTCTCAGTTTTTCTTCTTCTCTATGGGTCAACTTTCTACTTAGCATACCTTCTTTCCTGGAAGCAAAATGGTTGCACCAAGTCCAGGCATCACCATCCATATACCATGTTTCCCAGAAGGAAAGAGAGCTTCTCTTGACCCACTCGTTAAACAAAGTCTTAGACTTCTTCTGATTAGCTCAACTTAGTTCATCCCTGAACCAATCATGGTGCGTAGTAAACTGTCAGGTGACTGTTGCCTTAGGCCTGGGCTACTGTCCATTCCTAAAACCATCACTGTGGCATGGAGTTGGGACTATCCTAATTGGGCCTATCAGCCCTGCCCCCACAGGGGCTAGGGTTTCACACCTACCCAGGTTCTATGGTTTCTGCACAGTGGGTGACAAGTTTAGGGAAATGCATGCTGAGAAGGCAACCAGCAATATACATCTACATTGTTGCTTAAGGGTCAAAGTTCCTAGGCCTTCCCCTGGCTACACTGGAAAAAAAGAATTTTAGGAGAGGCCAGGCACAGTGGCTTATACCTGTAATCCCAGCACTTTGGGAGGCTGAGGTGGGAGGATCAGTTGAGGTCAGGAGTTTAAGACCAGCCTGGCCAACATGGTGAAACCCCATCTCCACTAAAAATAGAAACATTAGCCAGGTGTGGTGGCGGGCGCCTGTAATCCCAGCTACTCAGGAGGCTTGAAATGTGAGACAGAAGTTGCAGTGGGCTGAGATGGTGCCACTGCACGCCAGCCTGGGAGCCAGAGCAAGACTCTGTCCCAAAAAAAAAAAAAAAAAAAAGAAGAAGTTTAGGAGAGAGGCAAATGTTAAGAGGAGAGGAAGGTGAGAAGGCTTCAAATCAAATCTGTGATTTGTTCCAAATTTCAAGTGGATTGTCAATACAGGAGTCCATACTGACTCTGAATCCCTAATTTTGGCCTGTATTCTTCTTCCTCTCTGAACCATCTTCTTAGAAGTCACTGGTAAGGAGATAAAATGATGGTCATTCTTTAACACTTCTTCCCACCACAATGCCCAGAATCCTCACAATGCAGCCTCTTCACTCCCCAGGGTGCCTATTGGCCTTCCCTACAGCATCCTGCCACATGCCCTACCTATCCCTATCCCTATTTTTCTCCCTGCCACTAAAACCTCCCATTGGTACCCTCTTCTCTTAGTGCTCCAGTGTATGTACACTGCACAATATTCTGAGCTAAGGTATTAATGACTTAAACACCACAGCAATTTCTTAAAGGTCACTGGTTCCTAATGATCAGGCTGATAAATAAACCCAGTAGGATTGGTTTGCCTGGTTTTCATTCCCAGTTAGAATGTACATAGATCTCTTTTTCTAGTTCATTACATACCAGAAACTCAGAAGTATGGCCCAGCCTCTGAGAACTTCGGCTCAAGCACTGTTAATGTTTTGCCATTTTCATTTCTAACTGTTTTCTGCCAAAACCTAAGTTCAGGAGATTAGTCATTATTACTGATGGTATCATCACCCATTGCCGAACTATAGCAAAGGACATTTCCTTACAGGTTGCTGGTATGGAATACTCATAAGATTCAGGAGTGGTCTCCTCTCATAGGCTCCAAAGGAGGCTAGATCACAGATCCCTCCTCCAAAAATGAAATTAATGATTTTATTTTGTGTTTCAGCATCGAGAGTGCCAGAAAAACATCCCAAGACTCACACAGGATTGTGCCTCATAGTGGATGTTTTGGCCACTGGACATCAGAACCACATTTTGAGTTTGAAGAATCTTCTACATGGTGAGCCTTGGTGGGAAGAAAAGAATATCCCTTCCTTATAGAAGCTGAAATTACAGACTCTTGCTTTCCTTGTCAGACTTAAAAGCTAGTGTAGCTAGAGTTAAATACAGGGCCAATTGTCTCTGGAGACTGCAGCTTTAGTGATGGGTACACAATTCAGTTCCTGACCCAGGAAGTGGCACATTAGGGCAGGCAGTGATGTTGGTTGTGGTATAATTGAGTTCCTGGTTCAGAAGTGACAACTGTACACATAGGATGTCTAGGGTTTGGTGAAAGCAATGGTATTGAAAGTGGTTTTCTCATCAAATTAGTTCCTGAGTCATGTGTTGGACACTGTTTCTATCTTGAGCAGCTTCTCTAGCCTTTCTACAATCCTGTGACCTGCCTGTGATCCTTTTAAGATTTCTTTTCTGTTTAATCGGCCACAAACAGCTTCTGTTGCTTGCAACCCAGGCTCCTGAGAAGGGACTGGAGAAGCAGATCACTTTATTGATGTGCTTCAAGTAGAGAGAGTAGAGATTTCCACCTCCACCATACCCAAATAACTGGTACTAGACGTACCTTTCTAATGTGAGCAACTTTAAAATTGAACAGAATATATGAAACCTCTCTTTTCAAACATTGAACGGCATGTAGCACAGGACTGTGATTCCTGAAAGTAGCGAACAAATGGGGCAAACCCTACTATCACTCTAACTTTCTGCTGAAAATGCTCTCTGGATTGTAGCACAATGAGGGGGAACCCAAGCAGAGCATAGTGGTCTTGCCGAGTTGAGGAGATAGTTGAGCAGACTTTTCAAGGCGGAGTATCAGAGAGGAGAGAATATAACAGCAAAAAAGTCTCCTGGGATCCCTTTGAATCTGTTGCTGAATACTAAGCTGCACATGCGTAAGGTGAAACTTCACAGTGCTAGGCAAAGAACTACCACGGAGCTGTGAGCTGATTGGTTCCCAGGGCTCACTGGGCAATGTTTGAGTTTCAACTTGCCAATATGAAGAAACCTTGCTGACTGTCCAGGAAATTCAATAGAAATCTCGAAAGGGGAAGGCATTAGTAGAAGGGCTAACTAAGCCAAAAAGTAGAGGTAACTCTAGACCCTCCAATAAGGTTTAGAAAGCAGCCTCAAAAAGAGGAAGTTCATCCACTACTACCATAACTGCCAGCCAAAACAAATTTTACCATTTTTAAAGCCACAACAAAATACAGACATTTAACAACATTAAATTCAGAATGTTAAAAATACTAGATATGCAAATAAGTAGGGAAATAGAACCTCAAATCAGGAGAAAAATCATGTAATAGAAACAAACCCCAAAATGACAGAGATAATAACGTTAGCAGACAAGGACTCAAAAAATTAAAATAAACACAACGATTTAAAGGAAAACATGAACATAGTGAAGAAAAACCTGGAAGATACAGAAAATAACCAAATGGAACTTGTGGGGCTAAAAAATACAACACCTGTAATGAATAATTCAGTGGCTGAGCTTAACAGTAGATTAGACATTGTGGAATGAAGTATCTGTGACACTGAAGACATAGCAGTAGAAACTATCCAAACTAAAGCAGAGAACAAGGAAACCAAAGAAACATGGAAACACAGAGCCTCAACCACCTTAAGATGATATTAAATGATTTAATGTACACACATAACTGGAGTCCTCGAAAGGGATTAAGGGTGGTGATTTGAAGACATAAAGCCAAAAAGTCCCAAATTTAATGAAAACTATAAACATATAGATCCAAGAAGCTCAACAAATCCGAAGTAGGATAAGAACAAAGCAAACCATATCAAGCAAGGCAGTTCGTAATTAAATCACTGAAGACCAGTAATAAGTAGGAAAAAATTAACAGCAGAGAGAAAAAAAGACACATTTTATACAGGGAACAAAGACAGATATAATTGCAGACTTCTCTTCAGAAATAATGCAAACTAGAACTTAATGAAATCGCATCTTTAAAGTGATAAAAGAAAAAGAAAGCACTGTCAATCTAGAATTCTATATCCACCAGAAATATTCTTTAAAATTGAAGGTAAGACAAATGTTTGTCAGACAATAAAAGGCTTGAAGTTTTTTTTTTAAACCAGAAGATCTTCAATACAAGAAATACGAAATAAAGTTCCTGAGGCAGAAAGAACATGGTACCAGATGAAACCACTGGCCTGCACAAAGAAATGAAGAGCACAAGAAATGGTAAATATATGGGTAAATATGAGACATTTCTTTCTCTGTTAAAAAATTCCTTTAAAACATAATTGATCTTGGCCGGGTATGATGGCTCACACGTGTAATCCCAGCACTTCTGGAGGCTGAGGCAGGTATATTGCTTGAGCCCAAGAGTTTAAGACCAACCTAGGCAACATGGCAAAACCCTATCTCTACAAAAACTACAAAAATATAGCTGGGTGTGGTAGCACACTCCTATAGTCCCAGCTACTCAGGTGGCTGAGGTGTAATGATCACTTGAGCCCAGGAGGTCAAGGCTGCATGAGCTGAGATCATGCCATTACACTCCAGTCGGGGTGATGGACCCAGACCATTTCTCAAAAAAAAAACCAAAACCCAAACTATTTTTTATATATATATATGCATATACACACACACACAATATATATATGATATAACATCATATATAATGTTAGATAACATTAGAGATGTATATATAATTAAAAATAAAAAACACAATTGACTATCTAAAGCAAAACTAATAGCCGTATATTACATGGTTTATAACATGTAGAAATAAAACCTATAAAAATAATAACAAAAGGGATAGAAAAACAGAAATAGAACTATATTCTTATAAAATTCTTACATTGCACATTAAGTGGTATAGTATTATCTGAAGGTTATCTTAGTCTCTTCCTGCTGTCATAGCAATCTACCATAGACTGGGTCATTCATAAATAGTAAAAATTCATTTCTCATAGTTCTAGAGGCTGGGAAGCCTAAGATCAAGGAATCAGCAGATTTGGCATCTGGTGAGGGCTCACTCTCTGCTTCCAAGATGGCATTTTGTTGCTGCATACTCCAGAGGGAAAGGAACAAACACTATGGCCTCACGTGGTAGAAGGGAAAAGGGGGTTAAAACAAACAACAAAAAACTCTCTTAAGCCCTTTTATAAGGGCACTAATCCCATCCATGAGGGCTCTCCACTTCCAAATTACCTCCCAAAGTTCCCAGCTCTTAATACCATCACCTTGGGGTTTAAGTTCCAACATACATTTTGGAAGGATACATACATTCAAACTATAACAAAGGTAGACTAAGAAAAATTAAAGATGCATGTCTTAAAACCTAGAGCAATCCCTGTAAATAAATAAATAAATAAATAAATAAATAAATAAATAAAACAAAGAGGTATTTCTAATAAGCCAACAGTAAAGACAAAGTGGAATACCCAAAAAAAAAAAAAAAATCAAAAAGAAAGTCAGGAGGATGCCAAGATCATTCAATGATCTTAGGAAAAGAGTAGTCTCTTTAATAAATGGTGATTAGACAAACTAGATATCCACATGCAAAAGAATGAATCTGGATCCTTCCCTCTCAACATATACAAACATTTACTCAAAATGAATTGACAACCAAAAGATATGAGCTAAGACCATAAACTTTTAGGAGAAAACCTAGGGATAGATCAACAGTTTCTTATATATGATGTCAAAAGCATAACAACAAAAGCAAAACCAAAACTGGACTTCATAAAAATTAACAAAACTTTTCTGCATCAAAGGACAGTATCAAGAAAGTGAAAAGACAACATACATAATGAGAGAAAATACTTAAAAATCAAATACCTCATAAGACTCTAGCATCCAGAATGTATAAAGTTATCTTATCATTCAACAATAAAATGACAAATAATTTATTTTTTAAAGGGGCAAAAGACTTGAACAGACATTTCTCCAAACAAGATATAAATCACCAACAAGCACAGGAAAAGGTATGCAACATCATTAGTAGTTAGTCATTAGGTAAATGTAAATAAAAACCTCAATGAGGTACCCCTTTACACCCACTAGGATGGCTATAATTAGGGCTAGGGGAAGGAAAATAAGTGTTGGTGAAGATATGAAGAAATTGGAACCCTGTTCATTGCTAGTGGGAACGTAAAATGGTTCAACCTCTGGAAAACAGTTCAGAGGTTCTTGAAGAAGTTAATTATAGAATTACAAAAAGACCCAGCAATTCTAGAGCTAGGTATATATCCAAAATAATTGAAAACAGGTCCTCAAATAAATACATATGCATACCATGTTCACAGTGGCACTATTCCCAGTAGCCAAAAGGTGAAGACAGCTCAAATGTTTATCAATTGGTGAATGGATAAATTGTGGTATATTGATACAGTGGAATATTATTAAGTCATAAAAAGTAATGAAGTGCTGATACCTGCTACAATGTGGATGAACCTCAAAAACATTATGCTACGTGAAAGTAGCCAGACACAAAACGCTATATGTTGTGTGTTTCCATTTACATGAAATATCCAGAACTGGTAAATTCATAGACAGAATGTACATTGGTGGTTGCTATGGGCTGGGGATGGTAGGGTTTGAAGGGAAAATGAGGAGCAACTGCTTAATGTATATGAGGTTTCTTTCTGGAGTGATAAAAGTGTTTTGAAACTAGATAGAGGCAATAGTTATACAACTTTGTGAATGTAATAAATGCTACTGAAATATTCACTTTAAATTCACCTCAATTTCAAAAAATGTATCCACCAACCAAGAGAAAAAAAAGTCAGGTAATATGGTTTGTCTGTGTCCTCACCCAAATCTCATCTTGAATTGTAGCTCCCATAGTTCCCACGTGCCATGGGAGGGGCCCGGTAGGAAGTAACTGAATCATGGGCTCGGGTCTTTCCTGTGCTGTTCTCATGCTAGTGAATAAGTCTCACGAAATCCAATGGTTTTACAAAGGGGAGTTCCCTGCACAAGCTTTCTCTTGCCTGCTGCCATGTAAGACGTGTCTTGCTTCCCCTTTGCTTTCT